CGGAGCGGATCTTGGGAAAAGGCCGGGTGCTTGGGGGTGCCCCAAGAAGTGGGGTGCTTCCAGGGGAGGATGACGGGGAGCGGTCATTTGAAAGAGACTTAAAAAAAATCTTTTGCCTCATTTTCTCTCGCTTGTAGCATAGTTAGGCGGTCCGAGGAGGGGTATACTCGCTCTTTGTGACTGGGTTTGCAAAGCAATGCGTGGGAAAGGAGGGATGTCTAGAGCTTCTGTTTTACCTTCGTTAACAAAAAATATTTCTTTTCCATAAAGCTTTTTCGCAGAGCTAGACACGCGCTTGCTGCAACGAGAGAGTCCCCTTCCCAGACAGTAGTTTTAGCAGACAAAAAAAGCCTCCCACACACCCCACCCCTGAGCACAGCTGTACTAAAACGCATGCAGACGCCACAGAAGAGCTAGTGGCCTCTCTGATGAGACCCATTAAAAAGCCCTTTACAAACCAGGTGGTCTCGTGCTCTCAAATTCTCTCTTGGTAGAGCCTCAAGAGATTTTGTAAAAAAGCAAACCCAAGCAGACCTCGGATAGGACTCAGACTGTGCTCTAAAAGTCTCTCTTCATCCAGGACAATTAAATAAAAAAAAAGCGATGACTGTGAAGCGTGGATGCTGTAGCCTCCTGCACAGAGCATGCACAATCCTCTGTAGTAAAGGACTAAATCTTCAGTCCAGCCTATGGTTAATTGCCCCAGTCAGATAAATTACTTAATTTTCCAAATTCATTTTCTAACAGACCCCAGCCTGCCACTTTGTGCTGGTGTCAAGACCCCTACTGGGTCCTTTACTAGCCATTCACCCTAACTAGCCTTTCCCCAGCCTGCCCTCTGCACGCGAGAGCCACATCTCGGCCTTCGAACCAGCTGGGACTTGGTGGGCGGATCCTTTCGTAGCCCCGCCCCTGCTCTTGGCGCAGCCGCAGCGTGACCGCTCTGGGTGGGGGGGGGGAAGGGGAGTACAGTAACTCTCGCGAGAATGAGCAGAAAGTATCGCGAGACCTGGCCTGACAGGGCTGAAGCGGTGGGGGCGCTTCGTGCCCTTGGGCTGCCGCTGCTATGTCCGGTT